GTCCCTAATACTCAAAGGAATTTACAAAAAGAATGCAAGTCCTTTCAAAATACCAGTTATATTTGGTATCAGGAAAGATCCCAAAGAGCCAAAGCAATCTTGGAGGAAAAAAACTGAAGACATCACAAAACCTGACTTGAAAATATGTGACAAAGCTATATTAACCAAAACAGCATGGTACTGGCTTAAAAACAAAGACCAATGGAAATGAATTTTTTAAAATCCACAAATAAATCCACATACTTAAAACCAAATGATTTTTCACAAAGACACAAACAACCAAACACTGGCAACAATTGTCCTTTCAATAAATGGTGTTATAAAAACTCAGAATCCATAAGCAAAACAATGAAACTAAACACCTATATCTTATTATATACAAAATCAATTTAAAAAATTGACTCAAATGGATCAAAGACTTAAATATGAGACCAAAAACTATGAAATTTCTAAAAGAAAACTTAAAGAAAATACTTCAGTACATTGTTTTAGACAGGGTTGTTATTTTTAATATGACCTCAAAAGCACTGGTATCAAAACAGAAATTGTGAGAAGTAGGATTATCTCAAACTAAAATGCTTCTGTACAGCAAAGAAAAAAATCAACATAATGGGGAGGGGAGGAGGGGGTGAAGGGAGGGCAGGGACAAGGGGTAAAAATGAGAACCAAGACCTGTCATGTAAAGGTGCAAGATCCCAGTAATGAATGTAACTGTACTGTATACCTAGAATGTACCAATCAACTCAATAAAAAGAAAAAAAATCAATACAATGAAAAGACAACCTACAATATATGAGAAAATATTTTCAAACTATTCATCTGGCAAAGGATTAATGTACAGAATATATAAATAACTCAACAGCAAATAATAATAATAAAATTTAAAATAGGCAAATTACCTGAATAGGTATTTCTCAAAAGATAATATACTAATGACCAATAAAGTATGTGAAAAAATGCTCTACATTACTAATTACCAGGTAAATGAAAGTCAAAACCACAATGAGACATCATTTCACTCCACTTAGAATCTGTTAATCAGAAACAAACAATAACAAATGTTGGTAAGGATGCAAGGAAAACAGAACTCTGAAACACCACTGGATAGACGATAAAATTAATATTAAACATAATTATCCACCAGATCAACCCCCTGTGGTGAATAACAAGAGCATAGATTATCACACCTGGAAAGAAGTTGAGAATGTTTTCCAACATTCCCTCATTCTATAGATGTGGAAAGTGAAACTCTAGTTCTCATAGGTAGATAGAAATGTAAGGTGTAGGTGGTCCCCAGGGGCGATGTTCATATCAAGCCATGCAACTCTAATAGCTATATATTTAGAAAAATTCTGTGATACAAGGTGGCCAACATAGTATTTTATAATGCACTCATATCCCTATAGCACCATGAAAAATGATAAATTCATGTGACTGAGGCTTATTCAACAATTACATATGTGTGTATGTAATTATACATGTGTATGATCATAGTGATATTACATACACATACGGTATGTTTATACAGATATTTGTTTATTAAAATTGTAGGAATCATCTCTAGCTACTTATTATATATATATATATATGTATATTTGTTTAAAAATAAACAAGAGTATTAGAAAAGAGTAGGAAATCAATTGAAGTCAAAACCATCACTCCCACCCTAAAATAAATTGCAAAAGCCCAAAAAATAGATGTACCCAGCAATTTCACTACTAGGTATATATCCAAGGAAAAGAAAATGAGTACATCAAAGAGATTTCTGAACTCTCAGGTTCATTGCAGCTCTCTGTATCACAGCCTGGGTATGAAGTCAACCTATGCTCCCAGAGACAGATAAATGGATAATAAAATGTGGCATATATACATCATGAAGTATTCAGACATAAAAAATACTGAAATCCCATCATTTGTGGAAATGTATATGGAACTGGGGAGTCCATTATGTAACATGAAATAAGTCATACGTACAATGTTCTCATACCTCTGTGAAATCTAAAAAACTTCATCTCATAAGAGTGGGGACAGAATAGAATAGTAGTTCCCAGAGAATGAGACTAGATGGGGGGAAGATATGGAGAGAGAACAGTTAGTAGATACAGGTATGAAATGGAGTAGGAGTAATAAGTCTAATGTTCAGTAGCATAGTAGATTTAACTATCAACAACATCTAATTGAATATTTTAATATAGCTAATAGGACTTTGACTCTTCCTAACACAAATAAATGATAAATGTTTGTGGGGATAGACATACCCATTATCCAGATCTGATCATTCCACTGTAGATAGATAGATAGATAGATAGATAGATAGATAGATAGATAGATAGATTTAAATATCACACTATATGCTGTAAATATGTATAATCATATGTAAATTAAAAGTTAAAATCAATTGACAATAAATGTAAGAATTACTCCCAGACTCTCAGTTCACTTTCACTGATACATATGTCTAGGTATATATTAGTGCCCCACTAATCTGGTTACTATTATAAGTGCTCTAAGTTATAAATTTTGAATGGGGAGTATAAATCTGAAATTCTGTTCTTGCATTTTCATATAAATTTTAAGAACAGCTCTTCAAATTTGCTAAAAATTCCATTGGGATTTAGATAAGGACTGTCTTGAATTTCTAGATTAATATGTAAGAGGGGGGTCAGGGTTTATGACCTTAAAAATATTAATGATAATAGGATCTCTTTGCATTTTGTTAGGTCTTATTGGATGTTTTTTCACAATCCTTTTTGTAATTTTCAGAGTATGAGTTCAATACTTTTGTTAAATGTATTCTTTGATGAGTTATTCTTTTGATGCTGTAATAAATGAAACTGTTTTCTTAATATTTTTATTATTTATTTGCATTCCTTTTAAATTCATTAAGATTTTAAATCCAGTATATAGTACAAATTTTGCATAAATATTCCCTATATGCTTGAAAAAACTACATTCTGAAATATTAGTTGCAATATTATCTATATATTCATTAAATCAAGCTTAAATTTTTGTTCAAACTTTCTATAGCCTGAATGACTTTTCTCTGCTTGTTTTGTTAACTACTGAGAAAAATGTGTTACATCTCTCATTCTAATTCTGAATTTTTCATTTCTCATTGAGATTTTGCAAATTTCTTTGTTTATGGTTATTTTAAGATCAGATATAGATGCATATGTTTACATTTTCCTGGTGAATTGAAACTTCTTTTATTATCTCTGCAGTGCTTTTGTTTTTAAAGCCTATTTTATATGAAATTAATCTATGATATTTTACTTTTCTTCTTTGTTGGCATAAAATCTGCCTATTCTTTTCCTTTCATCCTCTCTGAATCTTTAAATTTCAGATAAATATAAATTTTCAAGTTTTAGAAACCTACATCACTTCTGTCTTAGTTACTTTTCTCATTCCTGAAACACAGTACCTGACACCCATAAGTTAGAGGAAAGGTTTATTTCATCTCACAGTTTGTAGAGGTTTCAGTCTATAGTTATCTGGCTCCAGGGCAGGTGGCATGGCAGAGAGGCAACACAGAGGAAAAATAGTTCATGACATGGGAGACAGAAAGCAGCAAAGCAGCAAATCAATAAAGCAGCAGCAAGCCTCCTTTCCCCTTTTATTCCATCCAGGCTATAATCCTTATGGGTGGTTGCACTTACACCCAGGGTAGGCCATCCCGTTATCCACACCAATATGTGGACTAATTTAGTTATTATACCCTTAATCCATATTCATACCACCTTAATCCACATTCGTAAAACCTAGATCCAGCCAACTTCAAAAAGCTCCACCTATGAGCACGAGGCTTTGGAGTGACATCAAGATACAAGCCATAACAACTTCCTTGGTGAATTTTACCTAAAGTATTAATAAAAACTAATGCCTATCTCACTCAAATGTTCAAAGAACAGAAAAAAGAAAAAACATCTCCCAATTTGATTTAGCCTAATCTTGGTATGAAAACTTAAAGAGAACACAGAAAAGCAAAAACACAGGTTAATCTCTCATAAAGAAATACAAAAAATCATGAACAAACAAAGTGTTACAGTCTGAATCTATTATTTATATTTTATATTGTAATAGTCATTCTGAAGTTACTGACATTTGTATTTAAATCTACTTTTACTCAGTTCCTTTCTTTATATCACTTGTTCAATATTCTTTGCAATCTTGCTTTCCTTTTATGTTTTTATCATTTTTTTCTGTTTCTATGGAGTTTTAAAGGTTATGCTAGAAATTACAACATGTGTTCTTTATTTTTCATAATCCCACATTTTACTGGACTTTGATTCTTATCCAAGATACTGCAAGATTCTTGGCATATAATTGACTTCAGTTATCTCCTTACCCAACTTTTTTTGGTTTGTTTTGTACAATCAGTATTCCTCTAGAATAACTCATGTGTTATCACTTATTTCTCTTCATTGTTTCTCACAGTATTAGATTCAAAGAGATCACTGGGTATTGATCAGGGTGAAACTTTTTCCAACATATGCCTAAACACTCTTGAAGTTTTTCATAACATCAAGGACAAAGAAATCTATGAATAGTTGAAAGGAGAAAAAAAGATTACACACAAAATATTAAAGATACAGATTCATATTATCAACATAGGATTCATGAAGAAATAGAAAAATATTGTCTTCAAAGTACTAGAGAAAAAGTAACTTTGAACCCCCAATATTCTAGGATAAAATAGACACTTCCAGACATATAAAAACATAAAAGTTTACTACTCACAGATTTTTTTCTAAATAAATTCTAGAATATGTAGTCTAATAAAAAGAAAAACAAATACTAAAGGAAATAGAGGGATGCATGAAACAAAGTAGAGAACATAACATCAAGAACTTATATCTAAATAAATATTATACAAAAATATAATGTAATAGTCTAGAACTAAAATTAAGAGGATATCAGCCTTGCTTTTGTGGTGTTAGAGGTGGGGAATGTAGAAATAGTAGTCTCATACTGATGGTCTATAACTGCTGTGTTTCTTCCAGTTGATGGGAAAATTGATCTGAAAACTGTGATATTGAGAATGAAAGATTTTACAGGTGAGTTTTTATAACACCAATATACTCTAATGTTCTACAGTAACTTATATTTTAGATGCTATTTCCAAATTGTTGATATTCTTTTAGACAGTTATTGTGAAATATTTCTGCCTAATAAAATTTTTTATCTTTATCTCTATAAAAAACATAGGATTTAGTCTTGATAAGTCCTATGTACCTTAGAGTTATTTTTTTCACTTATAAATATATCTTAGGTGCATATTAAATAGCTATATATTCGGTAAGCACATTCATAAGTTAGATAAAATTTTGCAAAGCTCAAGATAATGTTTTTGTGACTGATCCAGGATATGCCAGTATAATTATTACTAGAATTCTAACTGTTGGCAACTCGTTGTTCAATTTGTTAATGAGATTTCATTCTGCACACTATCCTTAACATTGAGAGAGCCTTCATTGTATTACTATTATAGGATGTTTGCTTTGACTTATATTGACACATTCTATTTGCATATCCCATATTGCCTTTACTCCTTAACCCCAAATTGAGAATGCAGCCATATAAACTATTGTAAATATTAAACACTATACTTTCATAGCTTATTATGAACCTCTTTAAAAATATCAAATTATTACTTTTTTAAATTTTCACCATCTTTTCAAAGGAGAAAAGATTAATGCTTTAGGATGGTTTTCTCTAATTCTGTGAAGGTATGCTGTTGGTATTTTGATTGGGATTGCATACACCTGCATAACAGCTTTGGAAGTATGGCCATTTTCACTCTACTGGTTCTTCCTACCCAAGAACAAGGGGTATCTTTCCATTTTTTTAATATCCTCTTCAATCTTTTTCAGAATACTGTAGTTGTCAATTTAAAGGTCTTTTACTCTCTTTGTTAGATTGAATCCTAGATATTTCCTTTTTTTTCTAAGCTAATGTGAAAGGTGTGGTCTTAATTTTTCTCTCAGTGAGTTTTTTATTTGTCTGAGGGAATGCTATTGATTTTTTAGCATTAACTTTGCATCCATCTACACTACTGAATTGGGTCTTTTGATGGAGTTTTTTGGGGTCTTCTATAAAGAGTATCATGTCATCTGTAAATAATAATAATTTAACTTCTTCCTGTCCTATTCTATTCCTTTCATTTCTCTCATCTGATTGCTGTGGCTAATGTTTCCAGAACTATGTTGAAGAGGAGTAGTGATTGAGATAAAAACAATCTACTCCTATTTCCTGTGGGTTTTTTAATAATGAATGGGTGTTAGACATTGTCAAATGCTCTTTCTGCATCTATTGAGATGATCATGTGGATTTTTTCCTTGGTTCTTCAAGTGGTTTTTTTGTTTGACTAATGAAAGTTTTCATTTCTAAGTGTTCTGCATGGTTCTTTTTCTTATCCTCTGTCTCTACTGAAGTGGTCTTTCACATCCTGCATTGTCTTCCTTAATTTGTGCAGCTATTTATTAATAACTCTGTGAGCTCACTAATCTTTTTAGTGAACTGTCTTCCTTAATTTGTGCAGCTATTTATTAATAACTCTGTGAGCTCACTAATCTTTTTAGTGATTGATAACTATAAATATTTTAAATTTATTATCTGGAATTTCATCTACTTCAATATCTGTGGGAATCACTTATTGGAGAGTTTTGAATTTTTGGAGGCATCTTTTTGCCTTGTTTTCTCATGATTCTTGTGTTTTTGTGTTGAGGTTTGCAAACTGATTGGACAAGATATCTGTCTCTACCACTGTTTTATGAGGGTCTTTTTAGTAAGTGGCTTCCCCTTTGTGATGTTTCCTGGGCTGTGGATATGTCCCTGTGTAAAAGTACACACTCTGTCTGTTCCCCAGCATTTCTTTGAGAGGAGAGAATAACTACCAATAGCATCACCAATTAAAAAAAAATTTTATGAGGGTCTTTTTAGTAAGTGGCTTCCCCTTTGTGATGTTTCCTGGACTGTGGATATGTCCCTGTGTAAAAGTACACACTCTGTTCCCCAGCATTTCTTTGAGAGGAGAGAATAACTACCAATAGCATCACCAATTAAAAAAAACAAACTGTATTAACATAAAAAAGAACTTGTTTAAAAGGATTTCTACTATTTCACTACCCAAGAAAATATCAAATGACTCAAATAAGTTATATATATGAACGCGCGCACACACACACACACACACACACACATGTGCATGTCTGTAATCCCAGCACTCTAGGAAGCTGAGGAATAAGGATCATAAATTCAAGCCCAATCTGGGCAACTTTGTAATTTAGCATGACTGTGTTTCACAATAAAAATATAGTTCAGTGCAAAAGTATTGAGCTTACTCTTCAGTACCCAGTACTAAGCGAGAGGAGAGAGGGAGAGAGAGAGAGAGAACACGCACCAGGCATGGTGGCACACACCTGTAATCCCAACACTTGGGAGGCTGAGGCAAGAGGATCAACATGGGTTTGAGCTTAGCCCAGGCTACATAGTGAATACAAGGCCAGCTACCTGAACTATATAGCCAGACCCTGTCTCAAAAGAAAAAAGGAAGGGAGGATGGAAGAAAGAAAAAGAAAAAGAGAGAAGAGAGAAAGAAAGAAAAGAAAGGAAGGAAGGAAAGAAGAAAGGAAGGAAGAGAGAATAGGCAAGGACAGAAAGAAATAAGAGAAGAAACATGAATGGGAAGTGGGAAAGGAGGAAGGAAGATTGAATCAGTTATTGAACTAACAGCAAAACAAAATTAGATAACCCTATGAAACAAGCATTGATATGGGGAAGTATGATAAAGCAACACATAACACTAGAAGCAAGAGCAGAAACTAATACACACACCAACACCAATCACCACACAAAAAAGGCCAACGAACAAACAAAGAAAAAAACAGGATTAAAACACCCCCTCATGGTGCTATTTATAATGGGGACAATTACTGGATATTTAAAATGCCTGCAAAAAGTCTTGTAGGCCCAGAGTTCTCTTTTTGGCTACTTTCCAAGTAGGACAAAGTACTCAAAGTAGTTTACAGGCTGAATTCTGCCTCCTCATAATCACAGGTGAGTGCCAAGGCAAAGCTGTCACTGGTGGGGCTCAGCAGAGTCCGAGTCTCTCAGTGTTTTTTTGTTTTGTCATTTTGTTTTGTTTTTACAAAGGGGGATGAGGACAATTGGAGCCACATCTCCTGCTCCCCTTGCCTTGGAAAGTGGTCTATGCTGTGGGTCCACGTTCCAGGAATCCCCGATTCATGCTGTTGGAGATAGAGTCGGCGAGAGTCTGTGCTTCGGTGTATATTCTGAATGTCTGAGTAGGGCAGAGGTGTTTGCTGTGTTGATTAGGATGAACATCCCAGAGCAGCCTGTCGGTGCTGTGCCTCTAGTCTGCCATGATTAGGAGTCTCCATTATCCTCCAGATGACAGCAGGGCCCTCACACCACTCCCCCTAGGGAGTCTCAGCCCCAGGACTCTACGTGGCCTTCCGGCTACACCCTCTGCAGCCAGCACCAATCCAACCACCTCTCTCTGCCCCTAGTACTCTCAGTTCCTGGCCTCAAGGTCTCTCTTCAGCTGACTGTTCCAATGGGCCCGCAGGACTGGAAAAGCAGTTTCCACCCCCTGGTGAATACCAGTCTCCAAGGGGAAGCCACATGACCCAGCATGGCACTAAGGGCAGCAGCAGTGAGGCTGAACAGAAGGAGGCAGCTACTTAAATCTCTCACAACTGCACTCTCCAAACCTAGGTAGCAAGAAGCACTAGGGACGGGTGATGGCCTCATTTTTCACTTTCTTTTCCTTTTTATGTGTGTGTGTGTGTGTGTGTGTGTGTGTGTGTGTGTGTGTGTGTGTGTGTGTGTTACTAGAAATCAAACCCAGGGGTAAACAATCAGCAAGCTACACGCCTCAGCCACCTTTTTTTTGAGACAGGATCTCCCTAAATTCTAGGATCCCACCTGCTTGTTGGCTCACTCGAGTTCACTGTAGTGATTGTTCCTCTATTTGTTCATGCAGCCATAGACCTGCTGAATTGGGTGAATATCCTAGAGTGGCTTCATTGTCTTCTTTTTTTGTTAGTACCAGAAATCGAACTCAGGACTTTGCCCTTGCCAGGCAGGCACAGCACCACTGAGCTACAACCCCAGCCCTCCTAGATTGGCTTTGTGATTGCTGTTTGCCTCTCATCTGCCACAGTGGACTCCAGAAATGTCTTTGTGGCATGAGCCTATGCAAAAACTTTGGATGAAGGATTGTTGCCAAGTGACATTGCTGATGTTTTTGAATTGCACACATAAAAGTTACTATGAAAACATTAGATTGTTTAAAAAGATGAATCATAGGTTAATCCCTAGGTATTTGATTTTTTTAATTACCAAGTTTTTCCTTATTTATTTTTCAGTTGGTTCATTTTTTGGTACATATACAGGAATATTATTGATTTTTGGGTGTCAATTTTGTATCCTGCCACTTTGCTGGATTTTTTATTATTTTCAAGAGTTTTCTGGGTCTTTTTATATAAAGGATTATATTATCTGCTAAAAAATGATACTTTGGCTTTTTTCTTTCTCTCTTATTTGTATCTCTTTTACTTATTTCTTTTGCCTAATTGCTCTGGCTAAAGTTTTGAGACTGTATTGAACAAGAATGAGGAGAGTAGAGCTGGGGATTTAGCTCAGTGGCACCACTGCCTGCCTCATAAGCGCAAGATCCAGAGTTCGTTTCCCAATACTGGAAAAAAAACAAAAACAAACAGTGATGAGAATAGACACTCTTATTCCTGATTTTAGAGGGAATTCTTTCAGGATTTTCCATTTAATGCTTCAGTTTTGTCTCATTTACTATGATTTTGACAGTGGATTCGTCATAGATGGCTTTTATCAGTCTGAGGTAAGTTTCTTCTGTATTTCCTCCTTAGAACTGCTTTCATTGTATACCATAGGTTTTTGCATGTATGCTGCCATTGTCATTTGATTCTAGGAAATTTTAATTTCTTCCCTGATTTTTTTTCTGCAACCTGTTGATTATTCATAAGATTTAATCTTCATATGTTTGGGTAGTTTCTGT